GCAACAGCCTCCTTCTTGTGGTTGGCACACAGGGCAAGCTGGAAGGACAGGGAATTAACACCCCACCCCCTGATCAAAGGGAAGCAGTGGAAAATCTCCACCCTCCTCACCCCATCGAGTAGGACTGTTCTAAGGCCTGTTCTACAGCAGCCCAAGGAAAACATGCTGACTAATGCCTTCCGTGTGCGCTTTCCTCCCATCTCCCAATCGCTCCCCCACTCCCAGACCACTTTCTGGGATCCCCCTCTGAGTAAACTCTTCCCACCCCTGGGACTTGGACTCAAATCCTTGTCCGGGGGTCTGGTGCAGGGGGTACCTAGCCTAAGACGGATATAATTACACACTGTGATAGCTGCCAGGAAGGGCAGGAGGGACACGGTGCCACATCCTCATGAAGGTTGTCTGAAATGACAGTTAAGGAGGAGCAGGAGTTGCCTAGTGTCAATCATCAGATTCAGTCGAGCAAATGGAAATCATTTTGGAAATGTTAAGCAAAAAGAGTTAACGCAGCGGGGCTAGCATTCAGCTACTGGCACTGCTGTGGCCTCACAGGTGTATCTGAATCCGTCTGTTGTAACTAGACGCATGCCCTGATTGGCTGACGCCTGTTGTCAACCAGCTGTTGAATATTTTGAGAATCACTCTTGGGATTAGGTGTTTCTGAAATTGTTGAGGGCGTGAGGTGCAGGCTTGCAGGGTGAAACCGCACCAGTGACCTGCCAGGGAAGCCGTTTCCTCTGTTTCCACTCGGGAAAGTGGGAAACGAGGAAATTGTCAGTGGGATTATCGAGCTTGAGAACTCACTGCTTGGAGTGCTAGTCAGCAATAAAAAGGAACAAACTACCAAAACATGCTGCATCATGGATGAAATTCAAAAAAGTGCTAATTGGTAGAAGCCAGGCACAAGACCCCATATATTGTATGATTGTATATGTATTATATGTCTAGGAAAGACAGATTAATGGAGAAAAAGTAATAAGTGTTTGGCTGGGGCTCACAGTAGGGAGAAAGATTCATTGTAAGCAGTACATTATTGGGGGTCTGAAAATGTTTAAAAAATTACTAAAAATCATTGGATTGTATGCCTGCAATGGGTAGTTTTTACATGTAAAATATATCCCTAATAAAGTTGTTTAAAAGGAAAAGTAAAAAAACCCCATACTGGTAAAGCTGTGAAGCTGGCCAGAAAGCTGCTATAAATAACTGACTCTAGATACTTCCAAAGCTGGGGTTTGGATCCCAGAAAGCTGTTGCAGAAACATCACACCTCACTATAGCCCTGCTTTTCAGCAGGAATAGTCAAAATAGCCTTCCAGATCTCACATGAAGCACCCATGTGGAGAATTTACTGTGGAATCCAAGACTCTAGCTGCAAAGGAGTCTGGGAAATGTAATCTTTGCTTTCCAACTTCCACAGTGCAGGAAGACACATCAAAGGGAACACAGGGTAATATAAAGAGTAGGAGAAAAGAGGGCTCTGAGAGTGTCTGGGAGCTCGGGTCATAGTCTCATAGTTTGTGGGTCTGAGCCCCGCGTCTGGCTCCACACTGAGCATGAAGCCTGCCTTGAGACTCTCTCTCTCTCCCCTTCTGCCCCTTCACTGTTTGCATGCCCACACACAAGTGTACTTGTGTGCACTCTCTCTCTAAAAATAATAATAAAATTTAAAAAAGAGTGCTTCCGCTAATGTTTGGCCCCAGAGGAAGTGCTCAGGAATTTTTTTTTTCTTTCATCCTTCAAAGCTTTAGTCAAATGCCCTTTCCCCCATGAAGGCTTCCCTGATTCCACCCCAAACCACACTGCTTTCTCACACATCCAAGCCATGGCAGTCTGAGTCCCTGTGTGCAGACTGGACTGAACCAGGTAGAGAAGAGGACTGGAGAAAGCACAAGGCCTGGATGAGCTTCAGCTGTCCCGTTCAGGACTGGAGGACAGCGTGGAAGAGGAAAGGGAGGGTCCAAACTATCTCAGATTTCAACTGTTAGCAACTCCAATAACACATTCTTTCTTTCCACCAAGCCTTTGTTAATGCTCTTTTCTTCTGCCTGGAATGTCTTTCCTTTTGTTTATCCTTTGATTCAGCTTGGATGCTTCCCCCTCCAGGAAGCCTGTTCACCCAATGACCCCTCATCTGTGCTCCCTTTGCACACTCTTTGCTCACCAAAATCAACACTTCTTACCCTAAGTGGCCATCATGTGTTTGCTTGTCTGTCTCATCACTGGCTAGGGAGCCCCTTAAGGGCAGGGATCCCCAGGAAGTCAGACTGGGGGATTAAAATAGAAGTGACCTGAAGCTTTCCACATCCACTGTATGAATATTTACTGAGCCCCTATTTCATGCTAGGCCCTGATCTAAGCTGCTTTAATGAAGGCAGACACACCTGAGAAAGGACAGATGGGAAGGATTTCAGTGGAGAGAAACCAAGAGAGGAGGCATCTGTGTTAGTCAGGGTTGGCTAAGTTAGCTGCAGTAACAAATAAACCCTGAAATCTCAGTGACTTAATACAAGTTTATTTCTCACACATGAGAAGTCTGATGTGGGTGGTCAGTGTCTAACTTCTACCTTGTGACTCTAGGGTCCAGAATCTTTCCATCTTATATTCTACCATCTCGACATGTGCTCCCCACCCCCCAGGCTTCTAGGGCAGGAAGAAAGGGGTAAAGGAGGCTCCTGGGCTCTAACTGCATCAGCTGGGGAGCGACACCTGTCTGCTCACAGCTCATTGGCCAGGGCCAGTCGTGACTCCACCCCAAGTGCAAGGGAGGCTGGGAAATTTAGGGAAGCGTTCTGGAGCATCTCTGCCTCAGCATTGTAGGCTGAGCAAAAGGCACAGGTATAAGAGGGGGGGGGCAGCACATAGACTCATAAAGCCCCAGTTCCTGGCATGGACTCATAATAAAGTCCCAGTAACTGATTTTTTTTGGATTTTCTTTAATTCTTTTTGTTTAGCTTTACTTTGTGCGTGTGTGTGTGATTGGAGAATGAATGAAAGAAAAAATAAGTTGTTCTACAGGCTTCAGTTTTGAGTCCTTCTGGTCCTGGGGCACTAGAGCTCAAAATGCCGCTTATCAATGGTCTACTTGTTGCCATACACTGTGCTAGGACCGTACACATATCACTCCATCCCATTCACTTCTTAGAACAACTCTGAGGGAGGGGTAGGGATTGCTGTGCCCATTTTACAGATGAGAAGGCTGAGGGTCAAACTCGTTTAATTATCTGTCCAGGACTGAAGCCAGTGCCTGATCCTTTCCATCGTGCTACATGGGTACAATCAGTCACAGGAACATAGGGAAAGAGCTTAAAGGGCTGGGAGGTGGGTTTCTCCTGCTCTTCAAGTCTTCTAATATCTGAGGAGGAAACAACACCTCCCACATCAGTCAAGTTTGGAAACAGGAGAGGGTAGTGTGTATACTTGGTCACAGGCTCCACTTATCCACCCTCAACTGCAACTCAACTTTCTTCAACTGCATGGACATGCTAGCTGTCCTGGGGTGGTCATGAGATTCCCTGAGAAAGTGTCTATAATGGCTACGTACCAAGAAAACACTGTATCAGTGGCCCATATTGCCTGTCTTAGGTCACTGGCCTTTCAGAGGGGTACTGTGAGCAGAGGGAATGTGATCAGAGCCCCACTTGCCCTGATGGTGACAATGGGTGTTTTAAGACCTTCCTGAGGAAGGCAGCACAGTGGGGTAGAAAGTCCGGCATAGAGGAAGGCCAGCTCTACATGCTTTGTGCACCCTGGGCCAAGACATTTGTCTCTGTGTTGGTTTTTTCATCTGAAGGTGAGAAAAGTCCGCAGATCCATCAAATGCTTAATGTTTCAGAGGGCTTTGGGGAGTACTATTAGAGATGTGGGTGTGAATGCAGCTAAGAAACCCTGAGTCTTCCTCTGTCCCGACCACACCTGAACCATGTCATCCCCAAGGAGAGGAGCTGGGGCTCAAACACCTTTCTAGCCCCCTCCTTCCACTGCCCAAGAAGGTGGCCAAAAGCCATTTTGCAGAAAACCTGAAGAGCTCATCCATCCACCAAACAAATGGTAGAGTCTAAGGCCTTAGGAGATTTGGGAGTTCAGGTATTTTTTTTTTTAACTTTTTAAACTTTATTTACATTGAGAGGGAGAGAGGGAACTAGCAGGGGAGGGGCAGAGAGAGGGAGAGAGAGAATCCCAAGCAGGCTCTGCACTGTCAGTGAGGAGCCTGATCCCATGAACCGTGAAATCATGACCTGAGCCAAAATCAAGAGTCGGACGCTTAACTGTTTCACCAACTAAGCCACACAGGCACCTCTGGGAGTTCAATTTAAATCAGAGGTTACAAACTGGTAGTGAGTGGGCCTAATTCAGCTTCAAACAAGTTACTTAACCTTTCTGTACCTTGGTTTCTTCACCAGGAAAATGGGCATAATTATAGTAATAATACCTAGAAGGGTTATTGTGAGGATTAAAAGAGTTAATGTAGGGAAGCTCGGCTGGCTCAGTTGGAAGAGTCTGTGACTCCTGATCTCAGGGTTGTGAGTTTGAGCTCTACGTTGGGTGCAGAAATTACTTAAAACATGAAAAAAAAAAAAAGAATTAGCATATGTAAAGGGCTCCAGGCAGTGCCTGACACATAATAAGTTGTGTATATATTGTTGTTATTATTTGATGCACATGATGTGAAAGTTTTTGGATTTAAGGGTGTTCACTTAGCTGGCCTCTTCATTTTGCCCCAAGCCCTGTTGTCCTGCACCCAGCTGGCTTTCCTGGCCAGGCCCAGGAGGCCCCAGGTTTGAGTGTCCAACCATGGCCTGGTCCTTTGTCCTCGCTGTATCTGCTGGATGACACAGACTGTTGATTCCTGCCCTCGAACCATGATGATTACAAACCCAGGGCCCATGATGCCCTTCTCAACAGAACCGCAGAGCCTTAATCCTGTCCCCCTCCAGGTTAGAAAGAGAACCCCCACACCAGCTGAGAAAAAACTGGAACCACAGAGCTCCAAGATTCTCTAGATGCTTGTTTTATTATCATTCAGATGATTATCATGGACAAGGGGGAGGCACCTGAGGGTTATGTACAAGTTCAGCTTTCAGGGCTGTCTACACATGCCTGAGCCTATTTATTCCCACAGCCACCACACAGCAGCACAGCACAGGAGGCCTCCGCCTGCAAGGCTTCCCCTAAGCAGAGCACAGCCATGGTCAGGGCTCTGTCCACCCACAAAGGAAGCCCGAGAAGGGGAGGAGATCCTGTGTCCTGGAGGTGAAGTTTACATGTGGCAAATCTTGACTCGTGGAGCAAGGGGATAGAAACTGGATTTGGACATCACACCTTCAATCCCACCCTGACCTCACTGGCTGCCAGACCCAGTCACCCTACTCCTCTCTGGGGATCCCTTAAAAGACACAGAAGGATCATTTTTAGCCAGGGCTAAGGAAGGGGCGCAGCCTGTGGGGGTGCGAGGAGAGGGACTCTGGGATCTGTCCCCTTGCCAACAGTGTAAGGTGGGATAATACAGGGTTTTAACTCAGAGGCTCGCTTTCTCGTGTCCCTGAAGGGGGAGGGGGGACAAGGCCAGGGAACTGGGTGTTGTACATACAGAGGACTTGGGCTCATGGTCAGGGATCTAAGGAAGAGGGAAAGAGAGGGTCACAAAGGGATAGGGCCCACAGGACTTAAGACATTCTTAGACCTCAAGCTTTATAGGAAGCTGGGTTCACTCCTCCAGGGGCTCCCTGGCCCAGGCAGCCCGCCGCCCAGGATGCTGCCGCTTCTCAGCCCCCTGACCCCTGCTCAGGTCATCCAGGAGGCCCAGCAGGAGGCCGGCCTGACCACAGGCTCCCTGGGGCTCACATGGGCCTCCCAGAGCCCTCTTGCCCGGATGCTGGCGTTTCTCGGGCATCAGCTCTACCTCCTCCCCCCCCTCCTCTTCTTCCCAGCTCCTTTGGGCCTTAGGATCCACCAGCCGTCTGCCTGGGTGCTGCCGCTTCTGCTGGGGTCCATCTGACCACGCAGCCACATCCTCCCTACGGCCAGGGTGCTGCCGTTTGTGGGGGCCCACAGCCCCTCCTTCTTCCTCCTCATCAACTCCCTCTTCTGCTTCCTGCTCCCTTTTGCCAGGATGCTGACGCTTGGCGAGCCAGTCGGGTTGAATGATCTGGGACTCTGGGGAAGGAAAGGAGTGAGTGAGGGACCTCCTGACCCCCCAGTGCTCATTCCAGCCTGTTAAGGCAGACTCCCTGCAGCATTCATCCAGAGTCACAGCCTCGTACAGCCTCTCAGAAATCACAGACACACACACAGACACACACACACACACAGATGGTCCAGGCATGACCTCTCATTCTAGCTCTGCCACTCCCTAGCTGTGTGACCACAAGCAAGTCATTTAACATCTCTGAGCCTCAGTTTTTTTCTGTGTGAAACAGTATCTGTCTAAGAGCTTGTTAGGAAGATTAAATAGTGTGATTAGGTGTTTGAAGTGCTTAGAACAGTGACTGGCGTGTATGAGTCTAGTAAGTAGTAATGTAAACTGTCACATACAGACTTTTTCTCTGTCCCTTGCACAGCATCTTCCCCACTGGAAGTCTGCTCTCTGTAAAACATTCCCAGGATGGACAGGGAAGAGAAATCTGATCTCAGGAAAGGGTCAGCTCAGGATCCTGCTGAGCTTAGGGCCAAGGGTTTCTAAGCTTCTGAAAGGCAAGAGTTTGGATGACCAAATGGCTCCCCACCTCTGCATCCAGGTTTCCCCCAGCCCTCTTGGCGGCCTCTGGTAGGAAGGACAAGACCCACCCCTCACCTGATTCTCCATCACCCTGGTTCCCTCGCAGTCGCAGGAAGTCTTCCCGGAGGAGGAGGAGGCGCTCTGCCTGGCGCAAGAGGTTGTCCAGGGCTGCGTGCTCACCGGCCATCGCTGCCTCCTGCTGGGCCACCTCCTGCTGTGCCTGGCCTCCCGGAATACCAGCCACAGTCAAGGTCATCGCCAAAGCGAGCAGCAACCAAGGGCCAGGCATCGCGGAGCCTAGGATTGGGAGTACAGAGAGTATAAGCCCGCCGCGCCCCCTTCCAGCCCGCCACCATCTCCCCCTTTCCTGTCCCAGCGGGTCCCCAAATTCAAACACCCTGCGGCAGGACCACCTGCCACCTCAGGGTGGGGTAGGGGCAGCCTTGGGCTCTGAGTGTCCTCACCCATACACATGCTGGAGTGCCTGCTCGTGCTCGCCTGTTGGGCCACCGCCCCTCCCCGGTGTCACTCGGAGCGCCAGGCTCGGAGTGTCACCACCCAGAGCGCCCGGCCAACGGCCACAATGCTAATTCCCGAGTCGCAGACTAAGATTCTATCCCGGCGCCACATTTTTGTTCCAACGCTCCTTTCCCAACACTCGAATTCCCACGTCACCGTTCCAGTCCCAAGGCTCAGATTCTATTTCCAGCGCTAAGATTCTTTGGCGAAGCTAGGAAACCAGTTCCGACTCTAAAATCCTATTTTCAACGGTGAAATTGTGTCTAACGCTGAGGCTGACACACTAAGGCGGAGATTCGAGTCCAGCGCGAAAATCAGGTTCTAATGAATGGATCCGGATTCTAACTCTCAGGCTCTGACGCTGGACGCCCCCTCCCGGTTGTGCCCCGACGTCCCGGCGCGGACCTACAGCCGACACCTCGGCGGAGGCAGGATGGAGAACTTTCCGTCCCACGACCGCAGCGCCGACGTGGGCGCCCCGGGCTGAGGGCCGCAGGGCGCGCGCCCCCGGCCTCGCCGTCGCGTCCGCGGCCCGGGCGGTGGGAGCCGGGGGCACGGACGCCGCGCTCCGGGAGGCGCTCGCGGACGAAAGCCGCGGCTTCTACCCGGGCTCCCCCGGGGCTGGCGTAGAAGGCTCCTTGTCCAGTGCTCGCGACGCTCCCTGCGGGGGGCGAGGGAACAGAGATGGTTACCTGCGGGGCGCCAGCTCCCCGGGACCGGTCCGAGATCCTGGGGCTCCGAGTTCGGAGTTCTGGGGTCCAGAGTCCGCGGATCAGGAGGCGGGGGGCGCTGGCAGGACCCCGGCCCCGACTGCCCGCTTCGCGGCGGGGCCGCGGCTTATATCTGCGCGGGTGAGGTCAGCGGGGAGATGTCGCAGACGCCGGAACGGGCGCTGACGGCAGCCGGCCCCGTGGGTACCCCGCCTGCCGCCTGCCAGCTCCCCCGGAAACCTGGGGCGGGGGTGGGGGGAGCGGCGAGGCGTGAGCCGGAGCCTGGGGTGCTGATGCTGGGTCGCTTCTGCACCCGGCTCCCAAGGTTTGTTGTCTACGAGCACGCTCAGGCAGGGGACAGAGATGGGCAGAGAGGTATTGAGAGCATCACACAGTGAAAAAGAGACACACAGGAGAGACTAGAAGAAAGAGACAAAGAAGAAGGAGGCACACTGAGAGAGACAAAGCAGAGACAAACACCAACGAGAGAGAGAGAGAGAGAGAGAGAGAGAGAGAGAAGGGTAAAGAGAAGAGGGAGAGGACCGAGGGAAAAAGTAGGGGACAAATGGGACTTGGCATCTCATCTTGATTGTGTCACTTCTGGCAAATGCCTCCTGCTCCCGGGGCCTCAATTTCCTCATCTGTACAGTGGGAGAGACGGACAGTTTCAGAATGCCAAACCTGGTAGCCTGGGGCCACCACCGGCTTACAGATGGTTTTGTTTGACTCCCACAGTGATTTGAAAAAACCTGAATAACTAACATTTAAAAACCAGGAAGAATTTAGGCTAATGGCTTCTCTTGAATATCTCTTAAAAGAGAGTGGATCTGCATTTCCTCCTGACACGACCCAGCTGGCTGAGCCTGGCTGCCCCAGTCACCAAGGCAGGACATTGGAGTTTGTGGCCCCTGGACCAGAAGTCTGTTGGGACCCACCCATCAAGCAAAGGAGGAGAGGGGATGCAGGGAGAAGAAAGCATAGATGATAAGGATCTTGTCCCTCAGTCAGTCCCTAAAATCACATTGGAAAAGAACACTGCCACATCTAGTCCTGAGCACAGCCTCCGTCCCGAAACATTTAAGTGGACCCCACAGTGTACTGGGCTCCTTGGTCAGTGGAAAGTGAGCCCAGGCCTGCTTCCAGGGAACCATGTTTTAGGCGAGGGAACAGCAATGGTGAAGTCATCTCCTCCCTCTAGACCATCTTAACATTAGTGTGCCTTCCCATAAAATATTTCTTCAGCCTCCCATTTTAGTTTAGTTTTTTTAATTTAAAATTTTTTTAACGTTTTGCTTATTTTTGAGAGAGATAGAACGTGAACAGGGGAGGGGTAGAGAAAGAAGGAGACATAGAATCTGAAGCAGGCTCCAGGCTCTGAGCTGTCAGCACAGAGACAGACGTGGGCTCAATCAGACTCACAAACCGGAGACCGTGACCTGAGCCAACGTTGGCTGCTTAACTGACTGAGCCACCCAAGTGCCCCCAGCCTCACATTCTGAGTACATGTTGAATGTCCCAGGCCATGCTGGAGGTCTGGCAAGAGATTCCAAAAGTGTTTAATTATCGCTCCTTCCCTGCAGACCATGTCACTGCAGCCTCACATCACCTGGAAAGATCAACAAGGTAGAGACTATTAGTCCCACTCTGTAGAAAAAGACACAGAGGTTTGGGGAGACAGAACTTTCAGATTACCAGCTAGATCCTCTCATTTTTAGATGAGGAAACTGAGGCCTGTAGAGATGATCTGATCTCTACTGACTCCCCCTGGCACCCCTAGACTCAGAGAGTTGGCTGGAGTAGACTGCAAACCTGAAATCTGCTGATCTCCTAGCCAGACTCCAGAATTTGAAGAATTGCCATATCCATGCTAAGCATGAAATCAGAAAGATAGACCTGTTATCTTTCTTATAGAAGGAAAAGGTGTAAATTGATGGAATCTCTGTGGGTGGTAACCTGAAAATGTAACACATGTGTACCTTCCACAGGACATCCCACAGGCAGCCATACATGTGCACCGGGATGCATGCACAGGGCATTTGGTGCAGCATAGCTTTTAGAAGCTAGAATCAGAAACAGCCTGGGTGTCTGTTCATCACGAGGGGCCTGCTTAAATCAACTAGGCTCCATCTAAAACTATGCGTATTATATTCTGACTTTGAAGAATGAGGCAGTTCCCTATGTACAGATGTGGAATACGCTCGAGGATATCTCGTTACATGAAAAAAAAAGGGGGAGCAGAGAACGATGTGTACATCATGTACGTGTGTGTGATGGCGCGGGAGATGAACTGTCATGCTCTTTAGCAGAGCCTCTCTCTGGAAGGATGGGTGTGAACAGTGCAGATAGGGAATGGGGGAGCTGGGAGAGGGGAGGCCAGTGGTCTGGGGCTTGCTTTTCGCTGTCAGCCCTTAGTGCTGCCTGAATTTTCTCTCTTTGCTGCATTACCTATCTACAAACCAACAAGCAGCACCAACAACACAAAACAATAGAATGTCATCTGAGTCTGAGGCATGAAAGGAGTGGTGTGGATGGAGAGAACAGCTGCCTGGTAGTGAGCTGGCTGGAACAGCGCCCCCTGGTGAGCCCATTTGATGCATTTCTATAATCAGGGATTTGAGTTTTCTGTTAGGAAGACAGTTCCGGGAGGGCTGGGAAGAGGAGGGGAGAGGAGAGTTCTCACATTGCCCGAGGGATCAAGGGGCTGGCTGGGAGAGGATGGTACAGGCATCTGAGGCTCTCTCTGTCCTTTCTTCTCTTCCTTCCTTCCCTCAACAAATATTCACCGAGCCTCTAGAAAGTACCAGGACCTATTCTGCATCTTGGGCACTGGGTTGACTTGTGTTTCTGATCCTTTGACCTGGAGGTGGGGGTGGAGGGGGGCCTGGGTGATTCTGAAGAGAATGCCTCTCCCTGGATCAGCCAATTCTTTGAGATAATAAAGGACTGACCTGGGAGCACTTTTCATATGCAAACTAACCAATCCAGAGCCCATACCCCCATCACTCTAGGCTGCTGTCTCTTTGCCCTCATCACCAGAAGCAAGTACAGTACAGGTAGGGACAGACCCTAAGCCCCAGAGCCACTGAAATTATTCAGACCAGCCAATCCAAAACCTGCTTCCCCCGGCTTCCCCATTCCTTTGTTCCTTCATTCCTTCAGGCAGAAACAATAAAGGCACTTGCCAAAATTCCACATTTCCCCTATCCCCTGCTTCCTCTGCCTACAAGGATCCAGCAGAGCAAAGAGTCAGGATCCTGCTCTGGTCTCTCATGGAGCTGAGAGCCCTGTCATTACGTTGCACATATTTTTCTCACTTGCTTTTTTTTCCTCTAATAATACAAGTGTGCTTGATTCTCAAGACTGCAATTGCTTATCAGATTAAGACAGCTATGCTTTTGAAAATGAATAATGGTGAGTTTGTACATTAATTTCTAACTCCCAGTGCCTGCCCACCCACCCCTACCCCAACACACACACACACACACACACACACACACACACATGCATGCACCTTCCTACAGGAGGTCTATTGAGTCTCAGAGTTTCAGGGTGAGTTCTGATTTTTCAGACCCTGTCCTCCCTGATTTCCCCTGTCTTCTCCCTCAAAGTCTCTTTGCTCCTTGTTCAGAGATGTCTTCTATATATTTTAGGGTCTTTCTCAACCCTGAACTATAGAAGGGCCTGAAGTAGCCCCACCCAAATTACGTATTGGTTTTTTACATAGTGGTTTTCTAAACTAAACTTTTTATTTTGAGAGAATTGTAGATTCATGTGCAGTGTATTATCATGTGTATTATCTAAGAAATAATACAAAGAGGCTGTGGGTACCCTTTGCCCAGCTTCTCTTACTGGTTGCCTGTTGTAAAACTATACAAGATCATGACCAGAATACTGACATTGACACAATCCACTGATCTTATTCAGATTTCCCCAGTTTTACTTGTACTCATTTGTGAGTGTGTACACTTAGTTCTATGCAATTTTATCACACATGTAGGTTTGCATATCAATGATATGGTGGCTTTTTAATTATAGAAAATGGTACCTGTATATACTCAATTCTTTCCTTTATATTCTGTTTTTGCTGTCAAAATAATGAAGGTCTTCTTTTCCCTGATATCATAAAAATTCCAGGAAGAAAAATCCATTTAGTGTCTGCTTTTTCTCCATAGGAACTCATTCCAGAAATCTTTCTAATCCCTATTTCTCTTTACCCTTTCCATTGGAGATTTTTGACCCAGTTGAGCGGCAATTCTTTGATGACGAATCCACTGGAAAGTTTTCAGTTCTCATTCCAACCACCGATTTATTTCTTTATTCAACGAATAGTTCCAGTATGTGCACAGGGGTCAGGCATAGGCCCAGGCACAACATGGGTGCAGATGGAGGTGTGCAGAGATGTATAAGGTAAGAGACAGGTGGGAAGCAGTCAGATCTCATGGGCCTTTATTGGCTCTGGAGAGTAAGGAGTTTGGAATTTATTCTCAAGGCAGTGAGGAAATAGAGGGTTTAGAGCAGGGGAGAGATGTGACCTGATTTGTTCTGTAACCATCCATCTGGATGCTTGGTGAATTGTAAGCTTACAGGGGGCAAGAAGGAAGCAGCAAAGCCAGTGAGGAACCTCCATGAAACCCTCACTCCTTTGGGAAACTCTTCTGCCTCTCTCATCTGGGTTGTTCTTTTCTCCTTCCAGGCTCTCCTTCTGCTCTGGTTGGCTCTGAAGTGAGTGTGACCCACTTGGCCCAGTGTGTGTCTGCTCTCACCCCAAGCACCGTCCCCAGGCCTCCTCATCTCCTTCATTTCACCCAGCCACATGCTGGTGCCTTCCAAAGCAGCTTCTCCGTGGAAAACTGCACGGCCTTCAGAAAGAAAGAGCCTCTCTCTGGGTGATTCTCCCCTGCAGGCAAGAGAAAACACAACCCAAACTGGCTTAAGCAAGATACAAGTCAGATATACATGTGCATGTGACCAATAACATAAAGACCTGGGGCTACCTTCAGGTATGGCAGGATCCAGAGGCTCAAATGAGGTCACTTGGAATTTGTCCCTTTTCTCCATTTGTAATCTTCACTTTCCTCTGGGTGGCTCCATTCTCAGGCTGACTGTCCTCAAAGGTGGAGAAGGAATCATAGGCATTCCTGGGATCACAC